AAAAAAAAAATGTTTAGAAATCGAACTTTAAACATTTTTAACGAACAGTTATTAATAATATATTTCTCACAGGCCCATATTCATAATACAATGTATATTAACATTGAACAGTGATTGCTCTAAAATTCACGTAGTTCTGCTTTTGTAAATAAAAATCAGATCTTAGTTGGTATATCAAAATGGTTTATCGCCATATATATACACACATTACTTATTTAAACACGTTTTATCAACAATTTAAGAGAAAGTGACTACGGTTCAGACATACAGGTGATAAATAATGTGTCGCAAAATTGTATTGTTTGTCTGAAATTTTAAATAGTAGTAGTTTTTGTTTGAAGATGAAAGTATATTATTTCAGTAGAATATAGGTTTGGCATAGAATTTGTTAATTTTTATTGTTATTATTAATATTTCAAACGAATAAAGTAGCAAGCTACTTGAATTAAGAGATCAAAAGTATCTAGATGATACTTAAGCAAAACTGTTGCGCACGGGTGATACAAGTACATGTGCTTGCTTCAAATAATAAACGTATATTCTTAGATTTACTTAGGTGTTCTTTTGTCTTTATTTTCTTTTACATACGAAACAAATGTTAGTAATTTCGTATTTACACAAGTCATGCTAAAAGTTGACATTAAAAAGCTCAATCAAAATATTAATTTAACGACATTTTATCCATAATTTCTATGACTAATATTAATGTCAGTCGGATGAATGGATGAAAATATCTTACCTTTACATTAAAGTATATATTTGAATATTTGTTTGTACAAAAAATATTTCAAAATGGTACAGTATTTTCTTTTTTTTTAATTGTTATTCTTTTTTCTTTGTTATTGTTTTATTAGAAGGCTGTTCTGAAAAAAGTATACATGTACATCCCTTTTTGTGTAAACAGTATCTAATGTACCGAAAACTCTTAAATGTCACTGCAATACAAAATCAAGCAAAAGAAAATAGAAGAAAAATAAGCAAAGCAAAAAGCAACAAATACAATATCATATATTATCATATACTAAAGTAGTTATTGATGTCGTTTGAAGAAATAAGGAATATCTGTAGCGTTTTCTCGTCGATAAAACTTTTATTTTTGCATCACGACACTGTTAAAAGAAAACGTTAACTAATGTAAACAAAAATACAACGTTCTCAGGGGCAGGAAATCAAATCTATGAATCTCTTGGAATCAAGAAATATAGCCAGACCTTTTAATAGAAGCCTTGATTTGATTGAATCATTTATTTTAGTAGTGATAAAATGTTCGCACGACAGGCAATAAATTTGTCTTTCCTTCCCCTAGATCTCTGCTTAATTACAGACTATTGAGAGTAAGTTAGGTCCCATATGTCTGTGATTGATGTAGCTACTGGAAAAGACATATATTTGTATGACAAAGTCGATTTTCCCAGAGAATATATCATAATTCTGTGGGGAAAAAAGTGAATACGAAATAAAACGTTTTAAAGGAAACTGACAATTTCATTGTGTATCCAATCTTCAGATTCTATGCAGTAAGTTACAATACATTGAATAAATATCTGACCTTTCCACTTTACGATATATGAGCTTCCAGAGACTATAAAAAACTGTCCTCCCACACAGCCGACCAAATTGAAATTGCTGCAGGCTTTGACCGATTGAACCTATTTATGAACGGCAGTGACCCCCTAGCACCGGCTTCTGCGGAATTCAACTTTTAGAGATGAAAGTACTGTTCTGTTCTATTAAACTTTGTAAAATCCACAGATGCGTTAACAACGATCATGGCACCCTCGGTGTATCTTTTAATTTCATGTAATTTCATGAAAATCGATGTAAAGTCTCAAAGTAATATGATGGTTTATCATAAACGAGAATTCAATAGGTGAAACAAAATAATAAGTTGCACAAGCGCCTACTTGTGAGTGTAGTTTTAAGCAGTTTAATGTTTATGTTATTATGTTTTTGAACGACCTCAGTCTGAGTGGAGTTCCTTTAAAATGCAATTGAGTTTTATTTTTCCTTGAAATTCCTTTATTTTACTTTTTTCATGTTAAAACTTCATCTTTGGTTGAAATACAAATTAATTTATAGCAAATAGTTTGATATAAAATATACAGGTATTATATGGTTATATAAATTTAATATATTTTGAATGTGTAAATAAAGTCTTTAATTTCAGTTTAGCAATAAATGAAGTTCATTGAACAATAATGATTCATTATATCAGTTGGATTTTTAATATCACTACTGGATATAACCTCCGTATCTAGGCTTTAAGGAATGAAGCGATAATATCGTTTCTTTAATATAAACGTGATTTTCAATCGTATGCCTTGCACGTTGTTTTTTTTATATGAGACGAACTAAGTCTTTCTATCAGTAAAACGTTTACTTACAGTGATTATTTTTTTTTGCAAGCTTTTGTTGATACTGAATAAAACAAATAAAACGATGTATATAATCTATAACCATTGAAAACTTTTGATAACAGCTGTTAATTGACCCATTTGTTTGATATTAATATTCTTGAATACAATGTAACAAAAATAATGCTGACGATAAAAAGAACTGTGTGACATGAATAATCAGGCAATGTATCACAAAATATAATACATTTGAGGACAATGTTATCGCATTACAAAATAGTGCAAATAAAAAAATAACCGTAGTCATGTATCTAAAGTTACATGTTTTAAGTTGCAATAAAACTCAACCATCTCTTGGACTATAAATGGTGTTTTCGTAAAGTGAAATTATGCTAATCGAGTGTGTAAATAGTCATTGAAGAAGTAAAAATCAAAATAAATTGGCATTTTGCTGTAATTGTTTTACTATGAAAAATTAATTAATAACTCGAGTGACCAACGGACACTATAAATATCGTTCAGAATGTATTGATAACGTTGAATTCTAAAAAAGAGTGGGGCAGTCATTTTTATTGGTTTGGGTCGTCAGACCAAACAAATAATGGTAGCGAAATTTCAAACCCTGATGCTGTTAATTGCAAATGCCGAAAGTAGTCCGCTTTTTTGAAGCGGTTACTTCCTTTTATATGTACACTAACGCCGAAAAATTCAGGGGAGATCAATGCGTAAAGATTGTCAAATGACAGGCGCATTAATATTCAAGCAACATAGATCCCGAATGGTCGAAGATTTCTAATATTGTTTTATTCTTTACAGATAAACATGCTTATAGTAAGCTCCATGGTTATTTGCATCTGTGTTAAACAACATGTTAAGCGTCGAAATAATAAGAGTTACAAACCCTAATTTAGAATAATATGGTTTTCTTCAGGCCGTTAACATATAACTTCACTGTTGCCGAGGGGTTTGCACGCTCGCTTAGGAATCGAGAATTCTGGAGTTCAAATCCCAGTTGAGGCAACTCATTTTTTTTAATTGTTTAAGTCAAATAAACATTGAATTGAATATCAGTGTTGCAATTAGTCTTATAGCCAATTTACTACAGTTAAAACACTGGAAAGCATTTGTGGCACTATACAAAAACAAATTGGTTTATAATCTCACAACCTTCAACTTTCTGACATTCTGAGACCCAAACAAATTCAGCGCCTTCTGTGCTTTGATTTCAATTTAGATCGTTATTATATTGTACATGTATCATATATTTTGTTATCAATTATTGGTCAATCAATATTATGATAGTAAAAATTTTGAAATATATTACTAAGTGAACTCAAATTGACAACTAAATAATGAGCATAATGTCACATTTAAATTACAAAAATGCCGTTATCATAATCATATATTTCACTATACTAAATTAGATATGTCATGATTTAATTTCTGAATCGTAATACTGTTAAAGTCACGGTATGTTCATTGTTTTACTGATAAGTTAAGTTGACGTAGTACTTAATATGAGCCGCGTCATGACAAAACCAACATTGTGCGTTTGCGACCAGCATGGATCCAGACCAGCCTGCGCATCAGCTATCAGTTTCTGTACTTGTAATAGGGTTTGTAAGCGAACAGCATGGATCCTGATCAGACTGTGCAGATGCGCAGGCTGGTGTCGCAAATGCACTATGTTGGTTTTGTCATGACGTGGCTCATATATGTCAGAAGATTGGCTATTATAATGGTGATTGACAAATAATTTATAATGGAAAATGTTTATTATACAATATAAAAGGACCTTAATTATGGGAAAAGGTGCCCTACTCTTTAAAAGAATTGAAACGATTCTGAAAAGATGTTTATATAGAAATGGCCTTTGGTCACGTTGATTAATTATTATTTCATAGTAAAATATAATGTAAAATATATAATTGATCAGAATTCTGGCACAATGTCAAGTTATTTCAATTTTTACCTGTTCACTGACTATGTTCCCTTGGATGGGCATAATGTCACTTTAAAGGTCAAGGAAAAATCGAGGCAGTCAATGAAACATGGAGTTCTTGGTTATAAGTATGAAAGTTGTTTTTGAAATTTTTTTATACCCGTTTAATTTTGTTCTTAAAATCAAATCTTTGAATATTGCATCATCAGTGTCTTCTTAAATGTTCACACTAGGTGTTAAAGGGAGATAATGTTGTCCGAAGGCATTTTGCGAAAATTTGATTTGACACGTTTATATTATGAGGTGATTTTAATGTCATATTAAACTCCCATCTTGTGACCGAATTCACAAATTAAAAGGTATGATTTTGAGCCTTTTCTCATAATGTAAGTATATTGGAAAATCAAAAATAGAAATATGACATAATGTCCTAATGTATCGTACGTGTTAAAATCACATCTTTATACATGGTATCCTTTTGAGCCATTTTTCATAATGTAAGTCTATTGGGAATTTAAAAATGGAAATATGACCTAATGTCTAAATGTATCGTACATGAAAAAAACACATTTTCAGATCAAATACAGATTTTGAGCCATTTCTCACAATGCAAGTCTATTGGAAATTTAAAAATAGAAATATGACCTCATGTCCCAATGTATCGTACGGTGATATCTATTTTCTTATCATTTGAACGGTGTACATGAACCTTAATGACATGTTACGAGCAGACGATAACGATGACCTAACAGGGCTGTATCTTTGTTGACCAAGCATAATGGTTTATACGGATTTTATCTTTATGAACATAATTTAGGATATTTAAGTGACGGACATTATTAAAACCGGTAAGCTTCTACGTGTATCATATTTTCTATGATTTTAATTTGAAATTGTCCCCGTCAACTAATTATAATTGTAAAATTATAAATTTTAGAGGCATAATCATATAATCATATTAATAGAGTTCAATAACAGTACCAGTATTTCATGTATTATATTAACATATTGCCTTATCAATATGTTTATAAAATTAATTGTATTAAACTATATCTCTGAAATGCGCCGTTTTCAGTTTTGAAAACAATAATTCAAAATGGCTTTATAAAAAAATATGCTGGTATATTTACCATCACGAAATTATTGCTAAATAACCCAACTTAAAATTGCAGCATGATATTTTATTTCGGAACATTTTATTCTGTTCACGTACAATAGTCACGTTTGTTAAAAACAGAAAAACATTCTTTGTTTCAACTCTTTCGAGAATCGGCCATAACAATGTTTGCCTTTTTTAACTTTACAAAAACAAAATTCTTAAGATATACATGTAGTATTTATACACCTTAAAAAGACTATACCGGAGTTTTTTTTACATGACAATAATTTTCTGAGATTAATATTCTATTTTATGTAGGTCTAGACAAATAACTTGTATGCAGAATTTCAGATCATTCGCCAACTCCATTTCTCATGAACAATTATTCTAATTGTGAAAAATGACCCAAAATTGAAAAGCATTGGAACATTTTTACTCAAATCAGTATGGGAAAAGCACAAAAAATACAATTTTCAATTTATTTCTAGAGTTAATTTCTTATTCATCTTTTGTATATCTATCTATTTTAAGTGCCCCGGACGTTCCATATAAGAAATTCAAATTAAATATTTAAATGTTTTTTACCCTTATTGGATTTCTCCGTAAAATAATGTGTAACCGGACCATTACTTTATATTAAAACTTTAAGATGTAGGTTTTGAAACGCTTTATAAATTAAAGAGACATTATGCTCATTTTCTGGTTGTCATTTTGTGAAAAGTTAGTAACATATTTCAAAAGAGTGGCTATTAAAATGGTGATTAAATAATAATTGATAATGAAAATAGTTGTTATACAATATAAACCACTACGTACATTATTACAAGACTGCCTCACTCCTTTTAAGAATTGAGCGTTACCGATAAATTCTGCACCATATCAATAGCAATTTCTGTTGGTCGAGTGAATAATTTTCATAGTAAAATAAAAAAATGAACACAATTATGGTGAAATATAAAGTTATTATTTTTTCCTGTCCACTGACCATTTACACTTGGATTGGCATAATGCCACGTATTCATTATTGATAATGTAATTTTAGGAATCAAATTCAAGCTAAACACAAATGTACAAGTGTAAGAAGAGATATACATGTAAGTGTTTAACTGTAACTTATTTAATTTTTTTGACATGTAAAATGAATTTTTTCTTCATAGTGCGATGTTTAAAATTAAAGTTGTGAAAGCATTACTTTAAAGATAGGGAGCGTAAGCAGATTCGTTTTATCAACAAGAATTAATCCACCGCACCCATAACACTTTACTTACCTAGTTACAATCTTTACATGGTTTAGATAGGTATTTTCTTAAAGGTACATTTAAATTTTCATCAGAAACGAATACATCTCTAATTTAGAAAAAAGGCATACGTGAGACTTACAACGTTTATGAAGACAATGCTTATAAAGATAATTTGACCGCCGCCATTTTGTTATCACGTGACTGTCCGCCATTACGGATTGAAAATGATTTTGGAACACGTTAGATACTTATTACCCGAAGAAACTGAAAGTAGCCCGTGTGTGAAATTATTTGTCATAAAGATATTAATATAAAACAGTATTTGACATCCATACAAAATACTTAATCACTATTATTGTACTAATGGCAAAAAACAACACAAGAAAAAAGAGGGATCAAGTAACTGAGTAACTTTTTTTTGAAACTGTAACTGATTACACAGACTATTCATAATCTTGATCAGAACTTAGTCAAGAGGGTCTGATAAGAAGGGTTTAGAGGCTAATAGTAATCTTGTCACTGTTTACTTATTTGATCAAGCGGTGAGTCAATCATTTTTTTGCAGATAACAACTAAAGTGAAATGTTTGCTATATTTTACATTTCCAAAATCACAAGTAGATTAAGCTTTTTCCTATCTGGAATGTAAAAGATCTCGAGTAATTCGTCTGTGAAGTTTATAATTTTGATATTAATGACATGCAAACAAACTTCTGATTCAAAAGCAATTAAAACATAAAACATAAAAATTGTAGACTCGTCAGCTATTTAAAGATATTTTACGTAATCAAGTATCTACTTGAAATGAATCAATACCATGGTGTTACAAAACATTGTTAAATACAATAGTGCATGTTATTGGCCGAGAATACAACTACCAGACATGTATAAGACGACAAGACGCTAGCCGAGCCCAATTTACGTTTTGCAGCTACGTACGAGTCTAATAAAATCCGTATTGTATTCAACAATGTACACGTGACTTCTTTATTTCACACTTCTAACATTCAACAAGCTGACGGAGTACAATACGGATTTGATAAGGATGTTTTAGACTCGGGAAATGAGTAGGAGGTTTAATATTATAAGTTTGGATTCAGTAATTTCTATTTTTACATTTGTCAATGTGTGGAATAATTCGAAATATTGCATATCATAACTTTTAGGTCATAGAATATACAATTATTGCATGATGATATTGTGAATACCCAAGTCTGTAGACCTGCATCTTGTGCTATTTTCAAAGTTGTCAGAAAAGCCCGCAATATGCGTGTAATTTTTCACTCTTTTCGGCAGTTATTTCCCTTTCTCAAAGGTGTAAATGTTCATAGAAACGAGAAGCAAAACTCCTTTATGTGATCATTGTATTTTGACTGAAAATGCACTGTTGAGATCTATCGTTAACAACGGATGTTTATTTTATGTAACGTTGTTTATCATATCACCGTGCCGATTTTGCGACTTCGTAAAAATGATATTGCACGGACGTGCATATAATATTTTGACGTGACGTCATTTGCGTTATACAAAGTAAAGACGCGGTAAATAAAAACGTAACACTATAAGCGCGTCAATGAAAAAGTGATTTTTCATATTGAATAAAATAATATTATGCTCAAAGGGAAGCTCTCACATTATTGAACCTACACTTATTTAATATCCTCTTTTTTCCATTATTCAAACAGTACTCTTAAAGCCGTAAAGTCAGCATATGGCTTAACCGTAGAAGGTTAAAAATAAGTCAAAATAGCAAAATTCTTTAGAACAGTATCAACATCTATCATATCTAAATGCTATATGTTCTTTTTGTGCTCCTTTTTAATAAATTGATAAAAAAAAACATGAAATTTCTATCAGCCTTTGACAAACAAAGCCATCTGTCATATTTTTGTTTGAACGGGCATAGTAAGGTTCGTACAGTTTATAATTTCTCAATGCATTGGCAATTTAGTTACAGACTGCGGCAATGACTTGTCTCAATTAACATAAACGTTTATGTCCTATTTTCAGTTGTGTTCGTCTCCAAAATAGACGATATTTTTTTTAAAGTTTTGTTATAAAAATAAGTACTGTGATATCTTTTCCAAAGTACAAAAACACCTGTTATTAGCAATTCACAATATGGGCCCATTGAAACTAGGCATTTTTATATTCAGTTGACTTATTTTTGGAATTTTCTAAAGATAAATTTATTAGTAAAGTTCAAAAGGAAAACTAATCTCAAAACTGGTTGTATCAATTTAAGCTTTTACGAAACACGTTGATCTGCATTATTGCAAGCATAATTGCGCCAAAGTAGGAAGTTGCAAACGCAATAGGACGAGAAAAATACTTAGGTGGACGATTGTCTTGCGTTTTCATGCATTCCAAAAATAGAAAAAAGGAATCCCTAAAGACATCCCAATATCAAGGATCGAAATGAAGGAACATAAACACCGTACACATGCACTTACCACAATAATGTCGAGCTAAAAGATCTTTTAGGATCGAAAATACAACACCTTTGATTGAATGTGACTTTTTACGCCTGCCACACGGCACAAATGACACTAATGTGACCATGAAATAGAAAAAGCAAAAACAGAATCCCTATGAAATGCCCAAAACGACAAAATTGAAATTGTAGCAGGCATGGTTTGATTTAGCTTGTTCATGGACGGTACTGGAAAGTCTATGCAAAATAAACGTACGCCAATTTTTCGGGGCTATTAATCAAAACATCTGTCGTGGGCATTGTCAAAACACTGTTATTTCCAATGCAGTCGAAGGTCTCAAAATTTCTATTTTTTTTGTTGAAACCCGGCCTTTAACGCAGTACCGTTAATCTTTTGTCAAGGAACACAAATAAAGTATTGTTAACGATTTTCTTTAGATCTGGAACTTTATATTGACACCATATTTCTTTCACAATTGATATCAAATGTCTTTGATAAAACCATTTTTAAGTACCGGAAGCTAAAATATGTCTGGTTTAGTAATCTTTGACCAACTTAGATATTAGCTTTAGTCAGGGTGGATAAAGGGGGCAAAGATAAAAAGCGGGATATTTATTCAACGTTTAAAATTGAACGAGGTCAAATGTCTCACATTTGTACTATCTTTTAAGGCATGTGACCCAGTTTAGAAATCCGTATACTGGTTCTTAATTAAAATGCGACATCTGTTTAAACATTATACTATCAAATGAACTTAATACGATACTTCTGTATCTTCTGCATAAGCATATATAATCAACAGATTATTGACTGGCATTGCCTAGACTTTAATTATATTATTAGATAAACAATGCTTGTGCTACCATGAAATACTAAAACATATGTTCCAATTCCAAAAATTTCACATATTCTTTGTTTTATCAAGAAATAGCAAATTAATTTATATTTATTTCTGAAAGGCCATCATATTTTAAAGATAGTATTAAAATATCATTTTAAACTAACAAGACATAAAAGTTCAATTTTTTAATGTCCTAGGTTTAATTAATACATAATTTTCGTAATTTTCCTGATGTGAAATATGAAAAGATACTTTACTACGGTATCCCATTAGGGCCATCTCGACAAACACAAAACTCAACACAATGTAAATACGATCGTGAAAGGTCAAAATAACGGAATCACGAAGCGAAGTGCGATGATAAAAAAATAAAAAAGTCTAAAGTTCGGCAAAAAGTCAAAATAACGAAACCACCATGATCTTTTCGACTTTTCGTTGTTTCGAGTTATGTGTGTGTCGCGATGGTCGTAACAGTACACCGCACCTTTCTTTCCATCTGATACATATCAACAATCGATGTGACAGTAAAAGCAGGAAGTATGTTTAAGATCAGATCCCCGGCCATGGACGTTATATATAATTATAACAAGTTTTATTTATTAATACAGGTTCAATTAGGAAAAAAGGACTTTAAACAAGGTCTGGACTAGAAAGTTCGTTTTTCCCTCTTTATGTTGCATTAGCCAGGCTACGGTTCCCTAGAAAATAAACATATTAATATGAAATATGGCACTCACACGGCATCGTGTACTTGAATAAATTAGTTAATTATATAACTATGAATAAAAATGATATCGAGAAATAAATTCTGTATTAATAGAAAAAAAACTTTAATTTTCTGTATGTTATATTTTTTTTTCTTTTTTGTTACCTTATATAGTTAGAAGGAATTCCCTTTCAATTTTGTGTATTGGCTGAATTTATAAGAAATTAGCCTGAAAAGACACCAGTGAAAACACGGAAAATATGTTTCATTGCGGTGAAAAAAAATTGCAGTGAAAATACGGAAAATCTAAAAACCGCTTTTTATTTCATCAATATTTCTCAACATTTCATTTATAAGTATATAATAAATTTATATCTCTGTTCTATTTATTTATTGATTGTCATACTCCAAAATATTTTGAAATTGATATACAATGTATGAAAAGAGAAATATATTCTTAACATGTGACAGGAATGATAACGAGATTCTAAACGTGTCATATCATTTAGAAATGAAAAGTAACACATGTCAGGGAATTCTTTATGAGTACATGTATGTGCAGTTTATTGTAAAATGAGTGTCTGTTTTAAAACAAGACAGTTGAAAAATTATACTTAAATGATAAAAAAATATCTAACGTGTCTAAATTCTTATTTTTTTCTTTAGACAGAAAATACTTTGATATTTTTTAAAGAGGAAAACTCATGTTTAACTTGGTAATATTTACTTATGATATGCCAAAATAAGTAATATTCAATGTATAATTGCAATTATAAGTAATATTCAAGGTATGATGTGTCATTACACGTAATATTTAAGATAGTTTACCATTATAGTAAGGTCTACCGTATGTTATACATAATAACATTATACATTAAAAGTAATGTTTACGTTATGATGTGCCATTATAAGTGATATTTACGTTATGATGTGCCATTATAAGTACTATTTACGATATATTGAGCCATTATAAGTACTATTTACGATATAATGAGCCATTATAAGTACCATTACGTTATAATGAGTCATTATACGTAATATTTACGATATGAGGTGCCATTATAAGTAATGTATACGGTATGATGTGCCATTATTAGTAACATTTACGATATGATGTGACATTATAAGTAATATTTACGGTATAATGTGGCATTATAAGTAATAGTTATGATATGATGTGACATCATAAGTAATAATTACAGTATGATGTGCCATTAAAAGTAATATTTACGGTAATATATGTCATTATACATAATATCTACGGTATGATGTTTAGTTATAAATAATATTTACGGTATGATGTTCCATTATAAGTAATATTTACGGTAATATGTGCCATAATAAGTAATATTTACAGTATGGTGTGCAGTGCTATGTAATATTGATAGTATTTATAGTATTAATATATATCTTTTCATTAAAGTTTTCAATTTGCTTTTCTTATTTCGAACAGCTTTGTTTGAAATCGTAGGACAAGGTTTCATAGAAATTAGATAATACACATGTTTATTATATCAACTTAGAACAATCATTTACTTGGCCGCAACATGTACAAAGTAGGGTCATGGTCAGCTGTATACTTCTAGTGGTGTTTTGAAATCATAAATGTTTTGTCCATTCAAGCTAACGACTTTTACTAAGTAAAATAAAAACCATGATCTCGGCACGTCATATTTTACGAGCAAATATTTTGTCAATATAACTTTTTTTCTCTACTTTCAGATTCCTGAATTTGAAAGGAACATACTTTGTTGTTGCGAATGTTTTTGGCAGCCGGCATCAAGAAGAGCTTCTAACGTATTGGAAACAAAAAAAACAAGACCACACGTTGAAGTAATATATTCGGAACTTATAGTTTTCACGTGCAGTACAGAAATATTACGGTTGATGACGTAAATAATTCAAATTGTCGGTCGGTAAACAAACGGACATGGAATATAATATCCCTTTCTGTGAGAATTAAAAAAGTTGTTAATAGAGGAAAATAAAGATGAACTAATATCTTAAAAGTGTTTAAAAAAACATATATTTGATGACAAAAATATTTACGCAAATGTGATTGACAAGGACACGTACATTTGGTCTATGGATGTGGTTGCTACTCGTTTAATTTCACTTTAGAAGCTGAAAATTATTATTACAAATGAATGCCTGAATGCCATTGTTTTAAAATCCAAGACTTTTTTTTAAAAAAAAAATGACTTACAGTTGAACAAATGCATAGCAAAGACGTTATAATTTACACAAAAGTAAGATATTGTCTGAAATTCTGATTGACGGGTATTTTTCAACGCCGGCTTTATATCAACAGAGATTGCAATAGTTGGATTATCTTAAGTTTAAACTTGAACTGTGAAAGATAACATAATTGTAGCTCAGCAACTATAAAGATTATTTAGCTTTATCAGAAGTTAAAACTGAATAAATCGAGTTAACGCAACAACCGTAACAAAGTGTTTTGTTTACGCAATAAACTAATCACGTGATATTATGACTAACAAATGAAATCGCTTGGATCAGACTTATGATCAGATAAAACACTTCTTTATCAGCATATTATCCAAAAATGCACCAGACGTGCTCAGGTCAAAGCGATGATTGTAAGAAGCACGAATTATATCTTCAAAAATGACGTTTAATTTTTATCTGAACATGTCACCAAATTTAAAACGAACTAAGGTGTTCTTCCTTACTATCGCAATATTTAGTTTCGTATTAATTCTAATATCATACAATTGGAATATATCAGAAAATATTTACAAAATATCAAGTGAAATATCAAAAGTTAGAATTTCCGAAATACATTTACCAAACATCAGATTTGGAGAACATTTATTAAAAGAATCTACAAGAGGCACTTCCGGTGAACTTATAACGAGATACAAAACTAAAGAATTGGCTCGAATGAATAGTGAAGCTGACAGAATAAACTACACAAAAGTTAGCGTTCTTGAATCATTACCAGAAGAAAAGAACGCCGGCAAAAACATAACTTTTGTTTCCCGACCAACAATAGACATACGGCAAAGAATTGAACATGAAAATGGTAAGAGTTCAATAGAAGGACAAAGAAATGAATTAAGTGTTGGTGAGCATACAACGGGAAATTCTAGTGAAACTTTGACAATCAAAGGCAGGGTTTTACATAAACAAACGACAGATAATCAAAGTATAAACAATACCCGCAAATTATCAAGTACGGGATTAGATAGCGATGCAAAATTAACAACTGAAGGTAATGTTCAAGCCGACTCTATGTTAAACAACACAAAAAATAGGTTTACCACATTGAAGAATAGCAAAGTTGAGACCCAGCAAGTGTTACGCGAAATCCATAGACTTAAGGATGAAATATCGAGTGACTATAAAAGTTCGTCTGCTCTACAACAAAAAAGACCGCATAAATCCGAACATAGGTACCAAACGGTAAGCATCAATAATGCTAACCAGCCTACAACAGAGAGAAATTTGCGAGCCTTTCAACGATTAAGAAATAGATTGAAAAATCTAGGATTAACTTATAATGGATTTATTATTCCTTCAAATAACCAGGGTTTTAATTTCAATGATGGTGCTGATTCTGATGCAACAAGTCGCCCGGATGTATGTACGGGATGTTTTGAAAAGAATTTTAACAAGATTATAAACGAGCCTTCATTATGTGACGGTGATGTCGAACTTTTATTCATGATTGCTTCGACATTTTCAAGGAAGGATTCTCGAAACGCTATTAGAAACACTTGGTGTGGACAATGCAATAAACCGGATTCAAAAATGAAAGTGGTATTTGTGTTTGGAAATAGAAACGATTCCGTTGAAAACGCTAATCTTCTAAACGAGAGTAAGCAATACCGTGATATAATTCAATTTGATTTTAACGATACATATGCAAATTTAACTTACAAAACAATTACATCATTGCAATGGAGCGATGATTATTGCAAGAAAGCAAATTACGTCATGAAAACAGACGATGACATGTATGTTAATACAGAGTTACTTCCTTTAATGCTCAAAGCGGCTCCTAGTAAACACTTTATGGGTGGCATGTGCTGGGGTCCAAGTTCTCCTCACAGAGACATGAACTCAAAGTGGTACGTTTCATTTGTACAATATCGACATGCTTTGTTTCCTTCAATGTGTAGCGGAACCGGATATGTTATGTCACGTGACGTAGTTTCCGGTATCCTTCAAGAATCACCAAACGTGCCATTCTTCTATCTCGAGGACGTTTATGTTGCAATTTGTTTGAAAAGGTTCGGAGTAACTCCGCTATTATTAGATGGATTTAACAACCAGCATGTAGAATTTGACCCTTGTTCTTATAGAAACCGTATTATCACGGCCCATGAGCTAAGTGCGGATAGTTTAGTCTATATATGGAATGAAAGTAGAACATGTCCTAAAGCTGATACTAGACCGGAAATGGTATATAGACCATTTCCGGTATAAACAGTCTATCTGAAAAATATTTAACATTTTTAATTATAAGATGTGTCTTTATTGTGTTTAAATAATCTCGCGGACTAGGTATGCCAAAGTTGAATTAAGAAAAAACAATACAAAATTCCAAAACTGCATACCTTTAAACTTTAAGAATAATGGTTACTTTGTGAGACACCACTATATATAATGACTTTAAAGAAAACTTTTCCCGGCACTGCACCGAAATTCATATTGATTACCCGTTTTGATCTTATTGCACTTTCGGCGCCGGTGAATTTTCACACTAACGTACAATAATTGTATAATAATGACGTTAGAGTTTAATAAGTTTAAATGACGTAAGAATGTTTGATGAAATAAATTTATTTAATACTAACCAGTACAAACTTGGTTTTATAATTGTGGTAAAGTTCATATTATCCACAATATATCAACAACACAATAAGGTAATGTGTTTGACAATATAAAATGACGTCAGGGTGCTGATGAGATGTATTTATAATCTTAGTGTGTTTTAAATGCTAAAATGACGTAGAATGTTTGCAATGAGATATTTTGATGATCATAGCGTGTTTAAAAAACTACAATGAGGAATGTATGTTTGATATGCTTAAATGACGTAGACATGTTTGACAAGATATAATGACGCCAGAGTGTTGGTGAAATATATTTTTGATCTTAGGTTGTTTAAAGATAAAATAACGTTAAATATTTGACAAGATATGATTGCATACATATGTTTGACATAATATAATGATTTTATAGTGTTAGACAAGATATTTAATGGCGTTAGATTGTTTGACATGACATAAAAGCGAGATACGAGATATAAAGGTGTTTGACAAGAACTGAAGACATCAGAGTGATTGACATGACATAATGACGTCAGAATGATTGACGAGACATAATGATGTAAGAGTGATTGACAAGATATAATGACGCCAGAGTTTTGATGATATATATTTATAATCTTAGGTTGTTTAAAGATAAAAAAAAACGGTGAATATTGACAAGACATGATGGCATAGATATGTTTGACATAATATAATAACTTTAGAGTGTTTCACAAGATATTAAATGACGTTAAAGTGTTTGACAAGGCATAACGACATTAGAGTGTTTGACAAGACATTAAAGCGTTAGAGTGTTAAGCAAGACATAAAGACGTTATCTAAAGTGTTTGACAGAACAACAAGACATCCGAGTGATTGGTAAGATTTAATGAGTGTTTAACAATTGTAATTGAATAAGAGATTTTGAAAAGGTTGTGTCCACATGAGCAGATTTGTATGGTTGTTTGAGTTAAAACTTATGTTTTATTTTAGATTTTATAATTTCTAGTCATTTTCGAGCTCAATATTTGTTAAAGAGCAATACCTTGTCGTTCTTTTTTTTAAAGAAATGATTGTTAAAAAAACAATCATGTGTGTTAAGAACTTTTTGTTGTTAAAACTTTGTTCTTGTATAATAAATGAAAAGATTCTGACGTGTACGTGTATCTATTTTATATCTTTAATCCATATAAAATGCATGCATTTAAAGAAACCAATTTTTGGTTATAAAGTCAAACCTGTGACGAGGGAGTAAGAAATTGCGTTCTTTATATACAAGTTGTCTTTATTTTAGGAGTTATGTCATTTCAATTAAATCAATGATGGGTGATCAAAAATTGGCCATTATTTGCAGATTTATCTCTATTCAGATGTGGTCTTTAACAAAGGTTTGGCTGTATATGCGTTTTGACTAATAAAAATCACTCAGTAGCATAAAAAATTAAATAGACGTGGTCCGGAAATTATAATTATTCAAATACAGAAACCTGTTATCTTCCTTAATATCATAACCTAAACATCAAGGGCAAAGTTCACCACATTTGAAATGATTGCACTGATAAAGTGTTTGTTTGATTATAAATTAGATTATCAAATCAGATGATAAATTAAATATCTCAAACGGACGTTTCGTCTATTTAGTTTTATTAAAATGCATATAACGTAGGGGATTAAGGAATATAGAACAGAACAGAACATATATTTTATTTTGAATTAAGCATATACAGCTCATCTTCATATACAACAAATATATACATGCATGAATATAAAAATGGTAAGCGCATATCTATGGAGCAGAATTAGGGTATTTATTCATATGACTACTTGTTGTTTTCATTTGCATAAGTTTAAATCATATTCCTAAAAATTTGATTCATCTGTGAGTAAATCAAAGTTCTTTACTTAAATATTTATGTATTCTTTCTTACTATGTTTATAGTAAGTTGTAATATTCTAAAGCCAATGCCAGTACTTCATCTTAATTCGTTTAATTTAATATTAGATACCAATAAATAAATTTTTTGTTTTAAACATGTGCTATTTCTACTTATTTAAAAGAAAGTGTGTTTTCTCGAACTTCTTTCTTAGAAATGTATCTGTGCAACTCATATTCTCATTCGATTCACACTGAAAATAAATTTGTATGTAGAGGCTATCAGAATTGTTGTTATAGAGATTTATCCATATTCTAACTTTATGAAATTATTAACATTAAACAACCTTAAGCGAAATAAGAAGAACAGCAGAACAAATAAAAACTAGAAACCACGTGATTAATATTTGCTTTCTGTGTCCTAGCTGTAAAATTCTAGCGCAAAATCTTAGTGACGGGAGATAACTCATGTATCGCTTCGGTATTTTCCGTGAGCACAAGGTGTGAGGATACAATGCTACTCGGCAATTTAATCCAAGTTTATAGGTAGCACACCACAATAATGTAAGACACAGCTTTGAATGGCCAGGGAGGATTTCTTGGATATAGTGAATATTCTGGATTTAACCTTTTACCCCGTGAGCATATTGTGAAAAATGGCAGTTTTCCTGTTACAAGTTCAAACTGTTATAACTTATAAAACTATAAAAAATGCTTCAATACTGATGACACTTGGCACACATGTTGACTGGACCATGGCCTCTGTAACAGCATGAATCGTAAATTTTCTGTTACCACGGCAACGGGGGGGGGGGGTTGAAGGTGGCGGTAGCCCCCCTCATCGCCAAGAAAATTTTGGACATGTGACAGGCTAAACACAGCCTCAGGTCGATGTCAGGGTAACTAGTAACCGACGCTGAAAAGCCTTTTACTCTATCTCAATTCATTGAGAAGTTGCAGCACTTGAGTTTTGATGGGAAAAACAATGCACTATTTTGCATTGTTTTTCCCATCAAAACTCAAGTGCTGCAACTTCTCAATGAATTGAGATAGAGTAAAAGGCTTTTCAGCGTCGGTTACTAGTTACCCTGACATCGACCTGAGGCTGTGTTTAGCCTGTCACATGTCCAAAATTTTCTTGGCGATGAGGGGGGCTACCGCCACCTTCAACCCCCCCCCCCCAAACAGAAGGGGGCACATCCCCCTTTTGGCAACCCCCTGATGTACTATTTTGATAGGGGGCGTGTCGAAAAGTGGTCACTTTTTTAACATTTCTCACAGTGTTGGGGCCTAAATAGGGCATTTTTTCACTGTTTGAGGTCTCAAAAAGGAGGGGGGGGGGCAAAATGTCGTCAAAATACGTCTACATAAGGGAAAAGGTTAAATGACTGGTTGTCAGCATGAAATTTGTTTTTGTGACATCTAATATGATCACTTGCAAATTCGAAGCATGGCCAGAAATCACATGCAGTTGATTATAGATGTTAAGGCCGCCATTTTTTGTAAACATTGCTTTTAAACAGCATGCACGGTAAAGGCAAGTCATTTTACAGGGAATACAAACTATTAGCAGTAGTAAAAAATCTACAAGGTTGAGCACCAGTTTGTGATATTTTGCATGTAAAGGGAGTTGCTAAAGCAGAGACGGTGTTCCTTTAGCCTGTATATTTGCAGGTCTTTTTTGCCAGAGGGACGAAATGTGTTGTTTTGGGTCTCGGGCCACTGTAGATTTTGGGCTTCAACGGAATGAATTACAACTTTTTTGACTGCCTGCCTATTGCAGATGGGATGATTTCTTTGTAGATTTGCAATCTTATGTCATATATGTTCTCAACAAAATGTGTTCCTTTTCTAAATTGTGTAGTTTGGTATCAGAATTATTAGACGTACATGTATTGCTTGTAGGACATTGACGGCAGAAACTTGAAATTAACTGTGGAGTGCTACCCTGGATTTCGTGGATTTTTTTAAGAGAATATTTCTATGGTTACACCGTCAGAAATTACGGACTTGTACGGAAATATTGGTTCCCGGCCAGATGTATAAATTTAAATTTCAATGTAATTTCGTATTCGTGTTATTGCAGTTCGTATTTGTCTACGTGCATTCGTATAGATTTTATTTTATTGTTATGTAACCCACTTTGTATTCTTAAAAGGAAGGACGTTCAAGATCATAAGTTAAAACTAAATTATTCAAATTGAAAAGGAAGAAGTATGCAACATAATATCTAATCACGTAGTTTAAACAAGAAGTCGAAACAATTGATCCTTACATTCTGCAGTATCAAAATACAAATGTTTAACTGGCAATTAAAAAGTAGCAATTAAACTTGTTTAAATCAATTTAAATTTATATGATTATAGATAAGAAAATTAATGAATACGAATACAAATTAGATAAATAGAAATTGAAAGATAAACAGCGAATAAATACCCAAATTCTGCTCCATACATATCAATAAATGAAATAAACTATCGAGAGTGTAATACAACACATGCAATATATACAATCCATATATAACTTTAAACAATACAACAAGGTGGTATTATATAGCATTATCCGGCATTCAATGAATCAAATCTTAATTTAAAAGCTTTGTTACAAAATATAGCAAATTTTGTTAACACTGACTTCCTTTCTGTATTCAGCAATTCTAAAAATTTTAACATGCTAGGGTTTCTTGTATACAATGTTTCCTAAGAGAGTCATACAAAGTACAAATCAATACAAAGTGATATTTATCTTCGATGTCATTATTGTTGCAAAGAGTACAATTCCGATAATTTCTATCAATATTACTATGTCTACCTGTTTCTATGAATAAATTGTGAGATGATAATCTAAGTTTAGCTAATATATTTCTTAATTTCATAGAGTCAACAATATCCAGGTATTTAGACCTGCTAAAATCGGTTTTGATATGTTTATACAAATATAAAGAAGAACAAATATGTACAGTAGAAATTATCTTTTAAACGACCATGTAGGACTGGTATAAATATATTTAGCTTAACTGATTCTGGATACATCCACACATCATTAAATCCAGCACTTTGCAAAGGTGCTTTGACTTTAGACAACCAATTTACAGTATTAGACTTTGACTCTATCTCCAATCTCTGACAATTAACAATATAATTTATTAATATAAAATATACCAAGCTTATTAATTTTTTTAAACATACATCACATAGTATACCAATTTGTACACCAAAATTAACAATTATTTTAACAAATATGGGTTATTATAGGGGGAATATTATATTGTTAAGTTATATATTTTCTTAGTCTTTACAAATGAAATTAAAATGAAATTATTCATATTTTCTTTAAATTATTTAGACATTGAAAACATCCACCTTGTCGAGTAATACTAGTTATTCCCAGGTGTTAATTGCCATAGTTCATATTGACCACTTAACGATATACGTTATACAATTAACCGTCTCATTTTATGGATAAGGACACATTTAATAGGTCATTAAATTAGATTATACGGGGGGGGGGGGGGGGTAACGAGATCTATTAGGCTTAAAAATAGAGAATCTTCCTTTTCAAAATTACTACTTCCGATTTCCCTTCGCGGTGTGCACGTCGCTCGGAAGGCATAGGCCAAACCAGGTGGGTAACCCTAGTAAGGTTACTTAGCTGGTGTGACCTAACCAACGGCGAAGGGTGTGGCCCTACAAAGAGAAGATCTACGACGAAAGACGGCATGAGATGACCTCCGTTGCAGGCTCTACGACCAGCGGCGTTCAATGTCGGTTTAGGCCGTGACAAAAAAAAACAAAACAAAAAACGATTTAGATCTATAGTTGATATTGCTTAACACTTTTTAGAAACGAATAATGAACCAACATCTCATCTCTAGTGATAATGCGGTTCAAAAACTTATCTCCTTTACGATTAAAACGACTTAAATGTTCTTTTGCATTTGTTACTCTGGTTGCCTTTTGATCTGCGGACAGCTATCTAGGCATCCACCTTGCTCATGCCTAGGTGTTCGTGTAAAATCTTGTGTGCCGATGCCTTACCGATGCTAAACTTGTTGGCTACCAATCTCCTACGCAGTGATCTCCCCTTACAGGATAAGATCTCTGCCATCACATTTTCGTCAAGATTTTTGACGATATGATTTTTTTCATTTTTTACATTTATTTTAAAAAGTAAACACGGGTTTGCTAATGTTTCATGACCGATAGGTGTAAGATGTGAACTAAAATAAAAAATAATTTTGCGAGCATAAATATAATGAAAATAATTTTTAAAATTTTTAATACCGCACCGTTTGTTTCGAAAACAATGACCCCTCTCGAAAAAGAAATCATTCAAGTAATAATTAATTTCGACTCTAAGCTTTACAAAAATCAATTTTTTTTAATCATGTCGACATATTTGAGACCAGAGTTCAATTTTTGATGTCGCTGTTTATTACAAATAAAACATTTTTCAACGATTCCATTGGCGTATACGCCATTTTTACACAATCATGTGATAAGACCATCATCACGTGATTTGTGTACTGGCCGTAGCGTAACTGGTGCGCGGAGTTTGGTTGGCTATCTCCTCCAAAGTTACTCGACGATTTTTGTTGACAAAAGCTTTAACATTTGCTACAATTGTTGGGGTCACTGCCTCAGCTGGCCGCCCAGTCCTAGGCCTGTCAAAAACACTTTTTCTGCCTTCACGAAACTGAGAAACACAGTTGTAGAAGGTTGAAAGTGATACACATTTATCAGAAAATCTTTTTTTAAAGCTGCACGCCTCCAGATGAGCGAAAATATTTCAATAAAATCAAACCTGGGAAAAATGTACTAAAATTTTAGGAACAGTGTAAAGATTCAAAGTTCTATTAATGATTTACATGTTTTGTGCGATTAATGACCGATTTTTCAGTATTTATAAGTATATTTCTACTGCGTTACTAACGCAGTAAGGGCTATTTTTGTATATTTTGTCCTCTTTTTTTACCTGGATTGTAAGTGGCATTGATATTGTGTAAATTTTTTCCTTATGGTTATTTCACTGAAGAATACTTTTAAACACATTTTCAAAATTTTCATGAAAATTAGTATGAATCTGGAGGCGTGCCGCTTTAAGCCTTTGAAAGATGTGGCAGGGCTTTTCACCTTCTGCAACCAGAAACTTTATTACAGAGCGTTGTTCCTCTAACAAAGAATCCATGATAGACGAAACACCTACTAGTGGGTAAAATACTGTGTATACACAACTATCATTAAAAAACTGACCACGTTATTGGCTTTCACCAATATATAATGTGTGTATTTAGCTGCACGTGGAAAGAGAGGAGCATGAAAAGTCCGGATATTTTCTGACCGTCCTTCGTACATGGACGCAAAACAGAAAGAAAGAAAAAAAAGTGATAGTCTTTGCCTTTGTGTTGTCAGTAAATTTTAAAAGATTCCAATCTAAAGATGTTATATTACCATGGATACTTCTTTAAAATCTTCCGAGACATTGAGGCTTGTTTAAAGGTCTTCAAAGGTAAGTACTACAGAAATGTTGTTGAAGTTTAAGATCGAGACTTTTGTCAAAATCTTGTGCAGTTGTGAGGCAGGTATCTTTTGATACATGTGTGTGTCAGAGATTAATAGATCTATACAAGGCAGTCTGAGTAGGGCCGAAAGGTGATAATCGGCCCGGATTATGTATAATGACCCCCTAAGGTTTACACTTGATAGATCTAATAGTAGGATTTTTGTCCCCCCCACTATAGGAGGGGGGATTTAGATGTACTCTTGTCTGTCCGTCCGTCTATCCGTCCGTCCGCTCACTTTTGTTTCGCACGTACCTCAAAAAGTATTTGACCTAGGGTCATGAAATTTTACAGGAATGTTGCTCAGGATGTGAATTTGTGCACGTAATGTTCACTTGTGGATTAATTCTGTTATGTCAGAGTTATGGCCACTTACGTAGTAAAAATATTAATTTTCAAAAAAGTATTTGACCTAGAGTCATGAAACTTTACAGGAATATTGGTCAGCATGTGCAGTTGTGCATCCTGTTGTTTGCTTGTGGATTTGTTAAGTACTTTTTAGAGTTATTGCCCTTGACTAAGTAAATATATACAATTTTCATCTTGTGTCGGGCTAGCTCAAAAAATAACTCAATAATGACTTATTGTCATGAAATTTAACAGGAATGTTGATAAGCTGCTTTTTGGAGTCATTGCCCTTGATTTAGTAAATATCTACAATTTTCATCTTTTGTCGGGTTAGCTCAAAAAATAACTAAATAATGACTTATTGTCATGAAATTTTACAGGAATGTTGATAAACATGTGAAGTTGTGCACCTGATGTTTTGCTTGTGGATTAATTCTGCAGTATTTATGAGTTATTGCCCTTGATTTAGTAAAACCCATTTCAAAATGTTATGCTATGTGTACCTTGAGTAATTGAGTTAGAATCAACCAACTTTGCAGGAATAATGATCAAAATCACTGTGAGCTGTTGACCCGGGGTTTTGCAAGTGGATTTTTAGCTCACCTGAGCTAGCTCAGGGTGAGCTTTTAGGGTCGTTGAATGTCCGTCGTCCGTCCACATTTGTTCATTTGGGATTGAAAGTTTGTTTTGATGATTTCTAGGTCAAGTTCGAATTCGGGTCACCTGGGGTCAAAAACTAGGTCACACCGCCCAAATATTATAAACCTAATTAACCCTCTGGTGGTCACATTTTTGACTCAATTGTCATCAAACTTGGTCAGGATGCTTTTCTAGGTAATTGCTCAGATGAATTCGAACATGGGTCATCTCGAATGAGAAACAAGGTCACAGGAACTAAAAATAGAGTAAACACTCAGACGACAACAGCTTTATATCTGAAATTTAAATTTATTATTAGTAATAGTTGTTACGATTGATGTCATCTAAGATATATTGCACAGTCTGACTTAAGTTTTGTGTAAAATATTATCTATGTTGAACCCATCATTTTTGTGTAATAATACTACAAATATAAAACGAATAAAGATTCATTTTGATGTGTTTACATTTAATATACACATTGTATGTGTAGACTTCAAAACAAGTAGCGTTGTTTCTTTCGCGGCATTATGGCTAAACATTATGTATATATTACAAACAATTTCAGTACCATTTTGCATTGCATATAAGTATATGTTTATTTAAACCAAGTCCGAAAAAGCCGTGTATAAATTTGTAAAAAATAAATATACTAATTTACAAATAATGATATAATAGAATAGATTTGTTTAAGCATTTGTTTCATCAATATACATGTAATGTCTTTCTATCGCTTCTGGTATTTCAAATTTCGTCTATCATCTTCAAAGCTTAAAATTTCCAGACTTCAGATCATTGTAAGGAAATTATGAGCAAGTTCTATAATTTACCGCTATATCACAGATAAGATTGGTAACAATTGAAAAACTACATTTTGTCTATACATGTATGTATTTTATGATATGACAAACTGTTTTATTTATCTGCATAATAGATGCATTGTGTCGATAACGAAATTTGTTTTAAAGGAAGCGAAAAAGGGCATCTAAACGAAGGATTATTGTTCGACATCTAGAATTCATTATCTTTATTCCCGTGATATTTTAGAGTGACGAGGGGACTCGGTCGTCATTTGTATCAAACAGTTACGCTGAGGATCATATTTGAGCCGCGTCATGACAAAACCAACATGTAGGGTTTGCGACCAGCATGGATCCAGACCAGCCTGCGCGTCCGCGCAGTCTGATCAGGATCCATGCTGTTCGCTTACAAACCCTATAGAAAGTAGAGAAACTGATAGCGAACAGCATGTATCCTGATCAGACTGTCTGGATCCATGCTGGTCGCAAACCCATTATGTTGGTTTTGTCATGACGCGGCTCAACTATGATCCTCAGTGTAACTGTTTGTCATGACGCGGCTCATTTACTTTTTTCATTAAAGATATACTATGCTCATCTTCAAGTAAAATATTTTAATCAAAAATTTGTTAAAACTTATGAAATCCTTACTGAATATGTCTTGTTTGAATAATTAAACGAATTAACTATGTATTGGGAGTCGCGTTTCTTTCTACAGGACAAGTAAAATTGGTATTTTCTTAAAAAAAACTGCCAGTTTTTTTAACGACACTATATATTCATATTTTCACCAGTTATAGTGAACATAAAATATCTACTTTGTGTGAAGTCAAAACATGTTTATTTTATATTTACAAAGAGACTATGTAGCAATAACCAAAAATTCCTGATATCAAATTTGAGCATAGTATATCTTTAAAAATCCTGGCTTTTATTTAGTCAATACTTGCTGTTTCTCATTAAATGATAAATACTTCTCAGAAAGTCGAGAAAACATCAATTGAAATTGACAACAGGCAGACTTATGCGAATCCCCCGAGAACCTTTAGACTAATTGTATCAATAATTGTGTAAATGAATTAGAGCTTTAACTTCTATGATGATAGGGACATAGAAATACGCAAGAATAAATCAAGAGGGGGGGATTGATTTCTTAATTCATTTTGGCATAACTCAAAAAATGTTTAAAGAGCTTTTAGTGAAAATAAACACCAATATTTACATTGCAAAACAACAACAACAACAAAAACAACAAAACAAAAACAGCAATGGAACGGTTGTATGAACATCGGGGCAGGGTATGTCCTTGCGTATGTATTATTTATTACTTTTATTAATGAACATACTATTTCATAAGATTAACATGGTGTATATCGGTATAACAAAAACATACAGATCCACTTTTACTCTATGAATATGGTAAGGGAATATAGAAGTAAATAATCTGAATCATTTTTTTTCTTTTCAAATTGATTAAAAAGATGCTTATATCGGCTGATGCTTATTAAATATGTTATTTGTCTCTGATACATTAGTTTAAGTTTCTTTCACATTAGAATACAAATCATTTTAATAACACAATAAACACATGTTTAAATGCTTAATTTCTGCATAAGCCGGTGCTTTGGGCGAGGATGGTTACTTGCACTTTTCAGTATCGTCCATGAACCGGCTCAATCAAACTGAGTCTGCAACACTTTCAATATTGTCCTTTTGGCTTTCTTTTTTTCTTTGCAATTTTCGGGAACAAATATTTACTTTATAATTCTGTCATACATACATGTGATATTATGATGACTTGTTCATCTATATGTGTTCAAGATAAACAAAACAACAACAACAACACAACCAATTAACAAACAAAGTCGTGGACACGAGAAAACGTTCTTATCATCATTTAAAATATTATGACGTTGCTGACATTCAAATTATAAAACTGAATTACCTTGAGATGATTGAAAATAAAAATTAATTTGTGAGGATAAGCGGATTTCTATAATGTTTATTTATTTATTCATTTATCATTATTATTATCATAATTATTATTATTATTATTATTTTTATTATATTTATTATTATTCCAAGTAACTGAACACGTATTAAATTAAAATGTCAATTCAGAATTGAAAGAAAAAGACGTTAATGGTTGTTTTCTTATACATGCTGTTTAAATAATTCATTCATCAGGTTGTACTGTTGTAAACTGATTATAAGGCCATCATAAATAAATAAATAAATAAAGATATAACATACGATAGGAAAAAAATGTTTATGTTTCAAATTAAAAGATATCATATATTGAATTTAGGTAAATCTTATCCAAATTATCGCCATGTCTTTGATTTCATAGATCATTTACTCAGCATCACATACTTAAATATTCGTTTGAATACGACACAGACAATCTGGGTTTATTGGAATAATCTCATTAACTTGTACATCTGTGGTGACAAATGACTTAAGACTTAACGACCATTACCGTCTGGTTAAATATTGTTAGGTTTGAAATTTCTTTCTATAAAAGCAGGTTAAAATTCCTTGCTATAAAAGCAAAGTTAAAAAAGATACAAACGTACTAGTGATTAAACATAACAATTGTTCGTATGCCAAAATATAAATCAATTAAAGTTAAAAAAGCTATGTTTATTATTCGGTATGTTGAAAAAATTCTTCCTATCACTAAATGTATTATTCTTGGCTGCACGTACAACTTCACTTGTTTTTTTTTACTTTTCTTTAGGACATAGTTTATATGTTTATTGAAATCAAACACATATCGTTTAAGATCTTTAGTGATTCCTAGTTCAAATTTGAATTGTACAAATTGTCCATCAAATGAATACCTTTTTACAACCCCCCACTACCCCCACCCCAACAAAACACGCATTTAAATGAGACAAACTGCGGGTAAATATCGCCCTACACGTACGAAGGTAATTTTTGTCGTTTGTGTGTATCTCGTAACATGATTCAATGCATGATAAATTTGAGCCGTGTCATGATCAGTCTGATCAGGATCCATGCTGTTCGCTTACAATTCATAACAAATCAAGAAACTGATAACGAACAGCATGGATCCTGATCAGACTGCGCGGATGCGCAGGCCGGTCTGGATCCATGCTGGTCGCAAACCCACTATGTTGGTTTTGTCATGACACGGC